TTCCTGACTTACGATAACTTTAGCGGATATAATAGTGGTTTCTATTAGTGTTACTTCTCTTCGCCACCTTTCCTGACTTACGATAACTTTAGCGGATATAATAGTGGTTTCTATTAGTGTTACTTCTCTTCGCCACCTTTCCTGGCTTACGATAACTTTAGCGGATATAATAGTGGTTTCTCTGAACTCTTGATTCTTTGTGGTTCAAGCGTGAAGGAAAGTCGTGAAAACCAGAGTTTATTCCATCACAAAAGACAATTACAGATGGCTATTTTTACATACAATCATCTAAATGGAACAGATTATGGGGGGGATACAATGAATGTCATAGGTGAGGTCACATTTCGAACACTTCCTTAGAAAGCAGACGATTACATAATGATGTCACTTCCGTTTAAAGTAGACGATTACATAATGATGTCACTTCCGTTTAAAGTAGACGTATCCATGCTAGACAATGAATTTCACGGTATGATTTACGTTGACCCATATAATTACCAGTAAAAAAAAGTGTTTTGATACTTCAGTTTAATCATTTTTTTTAAACTTTTTTACCAGCAATTGAGACTTCCTGTACATCCACTACTGACACTGGAGGATACCAGATGTTGGCAGCAGTGTGTTTCATACATCAAGTACTCTATTAACTTCGTGAGGAAACATATGCAGTGGCTCATGCCCCTGGACAAGATTCTGCTGTCTCCTGTGGTCTTTTCTAACATCAAGTCTTGTTCCCTGAATTCTGAACAGAGGTTAGCTAGCACAAGACTGAAGTTTCCATTAACTCCTGAACAGTCTAGAAACTACACGAGGGTATGTTTATTAGCATCCTTTGCTTTTGTCGTCAATGGGTTTTGATATACAGTTTTTGAAGCTACAGAGAAAGTGTTTAAGTGTAAAAAAAGCACTAAAACTTATGTTTTTCTCAGATTATTCATAATAAGAGAAACGCTTAAAAAAAGCCTCAGCACTCTGAGAGATTTCTCTGACATGTATTAAGCCTACTTTAGCATTTTTTTCATTGATTTGATTTGTTAAATCAAGTTATATGTATATTTTATTTTTATGATGTGGCTACAATATTTAATATTTATTCGATTTTGTTTTCAGTGTTATTCCTGGATAGAACATGCAGTAAACCTGAAACCATGTGAAACCAAATTTGTGCAGGAAACAATAATTTGCGTCTGTGATACCTTAGCGAATTCATACATGGGGTAAGACATCATTTCCTGTTTAATAATGGCAATAAATGGGAAAAACAAGTGTCTAATTACTGTCAAACCATATCTGTCATTTTATAAGTAAGAATAGAAAGGGCATAGTCTCCGGCTATTGTCAAACCTCTAACCTGTTAACCGCTGACATCTTCTGTGAGAAGATTGATCTACGACAATGAGTAGCTAAAGCACCATCAAGGTAACCACATACCATAACCAGATTCTCTATTGTAAAACCTGTATGTACGCTCGGACAAACCTATGTGCCACATCGAGTCTGGTTGACCACTAAAACATCATTAATAACATGACTCAACGGGGAAAAGTGAAGTTTGGTTGACCACTAAAACATCATTAATAACATGACTCAACGGAGATAAGGGAAGTTTGGTTGACCACTAAAACATCATTAATAACATTACTCAACGGAGAAAAGGGAAGTTTGGTTGACCACTAAAACATCATTGATAACATGACTCAACGGGAAAAAGGAGTCTGGTTGACCATTAAAATATCATTAATAACATGACTCAACGGAGATAAGGGAAGTTTGGTTGACCACTAAAACATCATTAATAACATGACTCAACGGAGAAAAGGAGTTTGGTTGACCACTAAAACATCATTAATAACATGATTCAACGGAGAAAAGGGAAGTTTGGTTGACCACTAAAATATCATTAATAACATTACTCAACGGGGAAAAGGGAAGTCTGGTTGACCACTAAATCTTCAGTAACAGCATGACTCAAAGAGGGGAAGGGGTTCAGACAACAGTAGAAGAAGTCACGCAGTATATTTGGTGAAATATTAGTGTATGAGTTCGGTGCCCCCAAAACCTTAGGTACATATTGATGTTGGTGTCTAAGGAAACGATGCTCTTCTAAAAAAGCTTTGTGTATACATTTAGACTGGTGAATAAGGGAACATTAACCCCAAAACGCCTTGAGTATGGTGGTGGTGGTATGTAAGGGAATGGTGCCCCAGAAGTCTTCGGTATGTACATAAAGTTAATCCAAAAATCTTGTGTATAGTTACAGGAGTATTTTTCTGGAATGAGTAACACAAAACACCAGGAGTATTTTTACTGGAACGAGTAACACAAAACACCAGAAGTATTTTTACTGAAATTGGTAACACAAAACACCAGAAGTATTTTTACTGAAATTGATAACCCAAAACACCAGAAGTATATTTACTGGAATGAGTAACACAAAGCACCAAGTATTTTTACTGGAATGAGTAACACAAAGCACCAAGTATTTTTACTGGAATGAGTAACACAAAGCACCAGGAGTATTTTTCTGGAATGAGTAACACAAAGCACCAGGAGTATTTTTCTGGAATGAGTAACACAAAGCACCAGGAGTATTTTTCTGGAATGAGTAACACAAAGCACCAAGTATTTTTACTGGAATGTGTAACACAAAATACCAGAAAGAGAAGAATTATGGACAGACTTTTTATAAGCATAGAGATTATTTTAAACGTTTCTAAGCAACACGAAAGAAATAGTAACACTTTTGGATACTCTTGTTAGCTTATTTCCTAGCTCGGATAACGTTATTATATACTCTTGTTAGCTTATTTCCTAGCTCGGATAACGTTATTATATACTCTAGTTAGTTTATTTCCTAGCTCGGATAACGTTATTATATACTCTAGTTAGCTTATTTCCTAGCTCGGATAACGTTATTATATACTCTAGTTAGTTTATTTCCTAGCTCGGATAACGTTATTATATACTCTTGTTTGCTTATTTCCTAGCTCGGATAACGTTATTATATACTATAGTTAGTTTATTTCCTAGCTCGGATAACGTTATTAGATACTCTAGTTAGCTTATTTCCTAGCTCGGATAACGTTATTATATACTCTAGTTAGCTTATTTCCTAGCTCGGATAACGTTATTATATACTCTAGTTAGTTTATTTCCTAGCTCGGATAACGTTATTATATACTCTAGTTAGCTTATTTCCTAGCTCGGATAACGTTATTATATACTATAGTTAGCTTATTTCCTAGCTCGGATAACGTTATTATATACTATAGTTAGCTTATTTCCTAGCTCGGATAACGTTATTAGATACTCTTGTTAGTTTATTTCCTAGCTCGGATAACGTTATTAGATACTCTTGTTAGTTTATTTCCTAGCTCGGATAACGTTATTAGATACTCTAGTTAGTTTATTTCCTAGCTCGGATAACGTTATTATATACTCTTGTTAGTTTATTTCCTAGCTCGGATAACGTTATTAGATACTCTAGTTAGTTTATTTCCTAGCTCGGATAACGTTATTATATACTCTTGTTAGCTTATTTCCTAGCTCGGATAACGTTATTATATACTATAGTTAGCTTATTTCCTAGCTCGGATAACGTTATTAGATACTCTAGTTAGTTTATTTCCTAGCTCGGATAACGTTATTAGATACTCTAGTTAGCTTATTTCCTAGCTCGGATAACGTTATTATATACTCTTGTTAGCTTATTTCCTAGCTCGGATAACGTTATTAGAGACTCTTGTCAGCTTATTTCTTAGCTCGGATAACGTTATTAGTTATTAATTATTACAGACTATTCGAGGATGACGAACACTTGAATAATGGAAACGTTCAAAGTATTACAGATATTTCAGGTAATATTTACGATACTCAATGTATTTATGATATATATTGTGTTTTTTGAGTAATCCAAACTTTGCTGCGGATCAAAAGGTCCGAGGTTCGAACCGCGATATGCTGTATACTTTCAGCATTGATGGCGTGCTAAAAATCATTTCAAGTAACGTTTGCAATGCTAAATGTTTTCCTTGTTTATAACGTGTTTGTTAAACAGTCAATAAAAATTTAGCTCAGAATTTATTCAAAATCAATACTTTTTAAACATTGGTAAAGACGAACTTGATCTGATTCACAGCAGAAAAAGAAAACGTGCCACCTATAAAGCTTACATTTGTACTGTAAAATGGAAAATGTAAGATAATATAAAACCGGTTAGAATCGACGGATATGGTTCACTGTCAAAAGGAAAATTATCACCCTGACTTAAGGTCATTATAAGTTGAAAGGAGGAGTGCCACTTCTCTCTCTTGTCTTTTCATAGAACGTACCAGACGTAGTTTAAATTGACCAACTTTAACTTGTTCGCTCCGGTAGTTTATAATTGTCAACAGTTAATACGTCATAACAGCTAACTTATAGTATTAACAGTTGAGATTTTAGTATACGATCGTGGAAATCCACGATTAGACTCCCTTCTGATGGTTTTTAAAATGTAACCTTTGACCTCGTGTCATGAAACTTAGTGATTTCAGTGTGAATGTTTGTGATAGCTTACATCACCCTACGTTTTCAGCTCTTATTATTACTACTTCGTTATAAGTTTATTCCTGAAAATTATTTAAACATTACAACAACGAAAAGCGTCTTTCTTACCCCTCCCCAGGTGGCTTAGCGATACGCCTGAGGGCTTATATTGCTCAAAATCAGGTTTAGATACTCGCAGTGAATACAGCACAGATAGCCCATTGTGTAAGTTGATAACAAAACAATATCAACGAGAGTGGCCCCATCTAGGGATAAGCAAATGAATCTTAGACTCCGTGAGGAGACTCGTTAAGGCTGTAGTCCTTTTTTTTTTTTTTTTACTTCAGTGAGACTGATGGTCCGACTAGGCCATTAGTTCAATACCAGGGCTCATCAGACCGTTTGGGATACGTCAGTGGTTGCTATAGATATTATCAATTCATTGAACAACGATTCAAGTTTAGTTAAAGACGTTTAACCTTTCATCAGTTCTTATTTGTATGACCGGTAGAGCAAGCAAGCTTTACTCCACTGTCCAGCTGAATTCTGGGTAAAATGGCGAAGTTTTTCACTCCTTTTATTATATGCTTTTACGCGTCATTTCACGAGCATTCTTTACCTCTATTAGCGAGATAACTACGCAACAGTAGCAACAACAAAAAAAGGTAAATGTTTCAGAAGTAATAACTTGCTTGTGGTTGCCAGCTGTTACATTCTCCAGTAAATATTCTTTAAAAACTAAATCTTCTATAGTCTGTTTCGTAATAATTGAACTATAGTATTCAACATCTCTCAACGTGGCATCTAGGTCTTTACTTTTCCTTCTATCCAAGTATTTTAAGTATGATTGGTTAAACAGTTTGTTTGTTTGTTGTTAAGCACAAAGCGACAAAATGGACTATCTGTGATATGCCCACTACGGGTATCGAAACTCAGTTTTAGTGTTAATAAGCCTGATAAGCTAAATAGAACTTCCTTTATTAAGGAAATGGACTCAAATAAATGGCAGTGTAAATCTAAGTCACTAGAGGGCGTGGCATGGCCTTGTAGTTAAGTCGCGGGTTCGAATCCCTTTCAATGAACATACTCATCCTTTGAGCTGTGGGGCGTTATAATGCCACACTCAATCCCACTTTCCGTTGGTAAAAGAGTAGCCCAAGAGTCGGCGGTTGGTGGTGCTGACTAGCTACCTTCCTTCTAGTCTATCACTTCAAAATTAGTATCGGTTAGCGCTGACAGCCCTCGAGTAGCTGTATTCCAAAACATACCAAGAAAATAAAGCCCCTAGATTGATTTGTTTTACCCCTTTACAATTTACTTCGTTTACCAACTAGTTCACTAAATATAAAAACTGTAACAAAACTCTAACATTACAGAATATTAACGATAAACAAAGTTGAAAGTTCAGAATGTCACTTGTAAAAAAAAAGAACTTTAGAAAAACCGTCCTTTCCACGTTAACTACTTTTATAGATTAGCCATCTACAGGTACTTCTCTGAACTAAACAGTTGCTGCTCATTTAAACTTCGTTCACTAACATTACTTTTCAACGGTGAGTTAGGGTTAGCACCTACAGAGAAAATAGTTAAAGGCAAAAACGAAATGAATTATTTGCATATATCGAATAAGAAAAACTTTAAAATTAATCAAAATTAACTTCGCATTTTTATGACTGATTTTCTGTTTCTATTATTATTATTTATTTTTTTCAGGTGTTGTTGCTACTGAGGTGACCTGTGTAATACATCCTGCAATAGACTTTGGTTCGGAAGTTCACGAGATGTTCGAAGCTTCGTTACGTCATCAAATAGCTCGAGCTCTTGAGATTAACGTCACGAGAATACTAGGCCTAGATCTGCTACCGAGTATGATAACATTTCTTAATGATTTAAAACATGTTTATATATCAGATTGACTTAAAACAACATTAACATCAGAGACGTCGCTTGGCCAGTGCCCCGAATCCCCAGCTGGTGTCTTGAAAAATCAGAATAGAAAACCATGATTAATATCACACTGAAAGTGAAACGGCGAAAATTTCGAATCTTTTAAGCACCTAGCGATGCTCCCGAGTAACATTGTGTTTTTATACAGCTCTTATTGTTTCTTTAAACGAAAATATTCATATCGATTCTAAAACGAAATTTAAAGAAAATCTTCGTAGTAAAAATATTACTTAAATATCTTAATTTCTGTCGCAAATGTAAATTTATTTTTAATCTTGTATACCGTATACTTACTAAACATAGAGCATTAAGGATCGGTAAGTTTAGTAGAATACTTTAATTAATCATGTATACTGTATACTTATTAAACATAGAGCATTAAGGATCGGTAAGTTTAGTAGAATATGTATACTTACTAAACATAGAGCATTAAGGATCGGTAAGTTTAGTAGAATACTTTGATTAATCATGTATACT